GGAGACATTGATGTGGGAGAGAAACATTGATTGGTTGCCTTCTGTACAAGCCCCAGCCAGAGACGGAACCCACAGCCCGGGTCTGTGCCCTGACCAGGAATTGGACTGGCGACTTTTTGGTACACAGGATGACACTCAGCCAACTGAGCCTCTCTGAGATAGAGTTAAATTGATCTCTCTTGCCTTTATTTTAGACGTGGTAATTATGAGAAACTGGTGATCGAGTATTTACAATTTTACTGAGGTCAGATAAATGAATATTGCAGAAAAACTTTCAGAGTTGGTCTGTTCTTAACTGGCTCCAGTTGAGTTTAGAGAGAGTAATTGATAATTTAGAATAATTAATTTCCATAAAGAAGAAACTATTGAAGCATATTAAATAATTACTGGTTTTTAACTTTCAGCCCAGGAATATTAAAACAATACATTTTGATCAAATTTAAGTAACTGGTCAGACTGTCCTTAATATTAAATATTAAAAATTTTAATATTAAATATTAAATTTTAAAATGAGGTTCATTGTGTCATTTTTTATGTTCTATTTTTTAACTGAAAGCAGATCTTCCTTTTTCTAGAAAAGAGTATTAAAGCATCCTAAGAACTGTGGGCAATTACATGGAGAGTAGGGGGTAGGGAAAGGCTCCCTTTAAAGTAACTTGCTCATGACTTTTTGGGGGGTGAGAGGGATTAAGCAAGAGTGCACCCATCTTCTTAGAATTGAGTGACTTTCTATTTTACCAAAGACAAAAATATTTTGCTTTTTTATAAAGAGGAAACGATTTCTCTACAAACAGAATTAACAGAAGAACAAAGCAACAGATCCTTAGTTTTATCGTGCTTTTTAATGTCATACCATATCTGGGTTTGAGAAGATTGGGACACTCTGAGAAACCAGGTCCTAGAAAAGTGAAGAATTAGCCCTGGCTGGTTTGGCTTAGTGGTTGGAGCATCGGCCCGTGGACTGAAGGGTCCTGGTTCGATTCCAGCCAAGGGCACGTACCTGGGTTGTGGGCTCGATCCCTGGCCCTCGTCAGGCGCGTGCAGAAGGCACCCAATCGATGTCTGTCTCTCACATCGATGTTCCTCTCTCTCTCTCTCTCCCCTTTCCACTGTCTGAAAAGCAATGGAAAAAATATCCTCGGGTAAGGATTAAAAAAAAAAAAAGTGAAGAATTATATAGGGATTTAAAAGTGAAACATTTACATAGGATTTTAAAAAGCTCAATTCTCACTTTTTATTACACACAGCAGTACTACAATTCTGTTCAGTTGTTATTGGTAATGCATTTTATTTTCTGGCAGAACTTTATTAAGGTATGAGTAAGCTACAGGAAAATATTTATTGTTGTTATTAGTACAAGGTTTCTTTCTAGCAGTTGTAACTTAGACCGTCAGTTTCCTTTGGAGGCAGAAGTAAGTGAACTGTTCTATGCATGCGTATCTTTCTTATTTCTCCCAGGTCACCAGTATGCATTTCTCCTCCAGTGCGGACATAACTCAGTTTCGACAGCTCTGCCTGGATGACATCCGTAGGGCCTTTTTCCTTGTATCCTTTGTTTGGGCTTTTGTTTTCAGCTGCTGCAGCCTCCCATGTAATGGGGTAAGAGGATGTGGAAGGCGTTTCTGCCTATCACCAGTAGTGGTATTGCCTTGGAGGACATTTAACCCCCTCGATTATAATTTTCTCATAGTTCACATTTAAAAAATTTTTGAAACTATAGAAAAGCACAAAGAATGGCATAAACAAATACATATGTATATATTCCTACCATCTATCATATCAACAGTTAATATTTTGTGTCACACATTTTTAATAAAATTAAGACATTACAGCTAAAGTCAAAGTCTCAACCCCCAAATTCAATCTAATTTCCCTCACCCAGTAGAAACCACTGTTATGAGTTTGGTTTATATCTTTTTATGTGTATTCTATTCTATACTCTTGTAACATCTATCTTGCAAGGTGTTGGATCACATCAGAGGCAATACTGTGTGAAGTTACTAGAATTAGATTTTTGAAAGACAGTGTGGCAGAATAAAGTCTCACACCGGGAAGGCTGGCTGACCAGCTTCAGGAAATTCACAGGGGAGTCTTTCCTTTGAACTTGCCATGGTACAGGGCTGGACCTTGCAGGTCCAGAAATAAATGTGCTCAGGCTCTCCTCTACCTCTTGCTTTCCCCTCAATCTTGCCTTCTCTCTTTTTTGCAGGCTCCTTCCACTCAGCATATACAAATAAAGCACTTCTTTCCTTGAACCCTGCATCCCCTAAATTACATTTTGTCTTTTCTGTTTACTTCCAAGCTCCTTAAAAGAAAAATCTATAGTTGCTGCTACCATTCCTGCCCCATTTGTGTACTATATCAGGCCTAGAACAGTGCCTGGCACACCGTGTGTGGCACATAGTAGCTCTGTGGATATTTGTCAGGTGCCTCTGCTGAAGCTGTACTCAGTGTTCCGCAGGGCCTCCTGATTGCAGTCTAACCTATTCAGTCTTACATAGCCACTCTATAACGCCCAAGCCCACTGGTCTCTCTCTTTTCCCTTGACTTCCAGGGCATGAGCCGTGTTCTCTTAGCTTTTTATGTCACCTCTATTCTCTTCACTTAAACTTCCTCTTCCTTTGTCTGATCTCGAGCCATGTTTTTCTCCGAGCTCCATCATTAGCCTTCTCTTTTTACTGTGCCTGGAAAATGTCATCCTCTCTATAGCTTTGACCAACACCTCTGCAAACACAACTTTGAGATCTGTGTTTCCAGCCTTGAGCCCTCTCCTGACCTCAAGAGCCATATTTCCAGCATTCTGCGAGGCACCACCAGATCTGTGTCCCAAACTACCAGCTGCTCACCCCTTTCCAGAGTTGCTCTCTGGCAGGACTCATTGCATCCGATGGCATTGCCATGCTCCCAGCCATCAAACTTGTCAGCTCTAACCGCTTCTTGTCCAGTTCTGGAGCCCCACTGTCTCCTTCTCCGTCCCACTCCTGTCATACCTGTTTGTGCTTCCCTGTCCCTAACATGGACTTCCTGCTTCTAATTATTGATTTGTCTCTGACCCGAGTAGCACACTGTCCCTGGTGTTTCTGTGTCATTCACCTAAACTGTCTGCAAGCTCTTCATCGTCTCCACGGTAACGTCAAGGCTTTTTATTACTATGCCACCAATGTAAATTTCCTGCTTCATCTTCTAAAGTAGTCTTTAATAAACCTTAAGCTTTTATCACGTCTATTTACTGTTTCTCAACTATGTCATTTATTTCCCCACTGTTTACCTTAAATGCCTCTCAGATACTTCTACATATCACCATAGTCCTAGTCAGCATATGAGCACTTGGAGACTATTTTATTCATACTTATTTTCTTAGTGCCTAGCTCTGCCCCTGATAAACACCAGACAATAACTGTTGCTTGGTTAGTTAGTTCGTTGAATGGATAGATCCATGTGTATGTACATTTAAGGCTCAAGTCACCAACTCAGATACCCTTTTTCACTGAACGTTGTCGTGATTCACACTTCCTCTTCAGGGTCTCTGTACCACTTTTGTGTATGTGTCTGTAACAGTAAAATAGCTAACATTTATGGAGCCCTTTCAATGGCAGGCACTATTTTAAGTACTTTACTAGCAATAAGTTCTTAGATACCAATAGGGTTAATGTCTATTTTTAAAAATTGATTTTAGAGAGGGAGAAAGGGGGAGAGAGAGAGAAACATCAGTGTGAGAGAGACACACTGATGGTCTGCCTTCGTATGTGCCCCAACTAGATTGAACCCAAAACCTAGGTATGTCCCCTGATTGGGAATTGAACTTGCGACTTTGGGTGCAACCAGCTGAGCCACACCGGCCAGGGCAAGCTCTACTTTTTATTTCAGCTTTAATACAAATGTAAATTTAAGAAATGTCAAAAAGATAGTCAACATTTTTTCATGCCTCATTCTCTGTTGAGTTATTTTAAACCACAATATCTTATTTCTTTGTGTAGCGGGCACATAGCAAGCATCTATGAACTGAAACGGTATTTCATCTGAAAGTGTCTGCCACATGCACTAGGTCTACGTTCTCCTTCTGAAAAAAATCATTAGCTACCAACTGTAGATGCAATAATCCTACGTGCTTGTGCTAGAGAAGAGGAAAAGTGTAACCTTCCCAAGGTCAGTAGTGACAAGTGAGGATGACTCCCAGGCCTCATTGTTCTCAGTCCATTGCTGCTTCACCTCCTCTCCTAAGAAGGTAGATGGGGCATTCATCTACAACAACTTACGGCCAAGTGCACGAGTGAGAAGGTCAGTTACCTTCATAGCAGAAGAGGCATATCTTTTCTAAATGAAAAGGAAGTTTATGTGAATTCTGTATTATTTTGCATTTCCTTAATTCTTTTTAGGTTTTCTTCTTTGTGACAGCATTTTTTGGAACTGGGAATATAGCTTCTATTAACAGGTAATTTTAAATGAAAACAGCACATATATATATATATATATATAACCAAAAACTAATACAATTGGGATTTTTGCACCTGCTTTTTATACTGAAGGATATATTTTGGAGATTGGTATATATCAGCACATGTAGACTTGCCTCATTCACTTTAGTGGCTTCATAATGTTTCTTTATGCTGGTGTTTTAGTAAGTATAGATTTCAGGAAATGATTTAAACATCCTTTTCAGCAGACATTCTTTTAAAGTTACAGTGTAAATTCTAAAATCATTTTTCTTTATGTTGATTCCTTAGCTTTGATCTTGCCTCTGTCTACTGCTTTCTGACCGTGTTTAGTCCTTTTATGATGGCAGCCCTGATGTTGTGGAAGGTTAGTTTGCTTATTTTCTTAAGATACAAATTGATTAATATGATGAACTCATTGTAACATTAAGATTATGTAACATTATGTGACATTAAGATTACATATTGTCATTGTGACAAAGTTAAATAGCATGGAAAAAAGATAACATCTCCGACGCTACAGGACAGGAGGTGGGACCCTCTGGCCTTTACTCCAAAATATAGTTAATCATTTTGCTTTACTCTTAAGCTCACTAAACTTCAAAAGAAGTTCTCAGTTAGTCCCAGGAAGTGCTATCAGGGGTAATGGAAGCCTGAGGGGAAGCGCAGTATGGATCAAAACTGCTTCGCTCCTCAAGACATGAGGTTCCCTGGGCCCATGTTCCCCACCCCTGGAGACTCGACATATAATCTTTTCTCATAATTCATGCACCTAGAATTGATTCATTCATTCAACAAATATGTCAACTGCTTGCATTCAGTAACACGCCAGGCACCAGCTGGGTGCTAAGGATGCCAGTATAATGACTCATTCTCAGCTCATCAGGGGTTCACACTCTCCGGTGGAATTTAATTCACGTGCTTTCCCTTCGTCCCTAGCATCGCCTGCTTGTCTTTTCTCTCTCCCATAGTGCCTGGCACTCTTTCCATAGTGAGTACTTCCTCCCTTGGAATCCCAGGGGGGTTGGTTCCGGGACCCCACCCACCCCGCAGATACCACATCTCTGGATGCTTCAGTCCCTTACGTAATATGGGGTGGTATCTGCATATAGCCTGTGCACATCCTCTTGATTACGTTAATCATCTCTAGGTTATTTATAATATCTAACACCCTGTAAATGCTCTGTAATTTGTTGTTAGAGTGTTTCGTTTGGGGAATAATGACAAGAAAAAAGTCTGTACATTTTCAGTACAGATGGGACCATTGTAGGCCTAACTACATAGTACACATCAGCAATAATATAACTTTTCCCCCAAATATTTTCAACCCATGGTTGGTTGAATCTGTGGGTACAGAGGGCCAACTGTATATATTTGCTTAAATAAAGTAACTAATACCTGCCAAAAATCAGATCACAGAAGCACTAGTTGTTAAAAGTATGTATCTCTTAGTATTAATATTTTTTTTGGTCATTGCACTAATACAAATGTAATTTCAAGAAATGTTAAAAAGATGTTCATTATTTTATGTCCCATTCCAAATTATTTTAAAACATGTATTGCTTCCTTAATCTTAATTTACATTGTTTTTATAATGGTAGTTGTTCTTTTTTCAGTCTTTTATAGACCATGAGCCTTTAATTAAAAATAAGGAAAAAAAGAAAGAAAAACAAAAGTTTTAATTAGAATGCTAGGTCTTTAACCTCTAGTCTAATTCAGTGAGCTTTGCTGACATAATGTACTTGAAGACTCTCTCTGCCTGATGTGGCTGCAAGTGAAGGTCCTGAACTGTTTTATCCCAGAGCCTTCACTTGAAAAAGACTCTTAGGTAATTTCAAACATTTCTTTTCCATATCTCTCACTCTCCTCTTTTTAAAAATATCAAATATGTATGTATTAGAAATTGGTCTTGGGAAACTATCTCAGAATATAATCGGTGTTAGTTCTGGATTATGGATTTTCAACTACCATAAATTTTATTATGCCTTTCTCAATTTTTTACAGACTTTATTAGTATTAAAGTAAAACAACCCAAAGCAATGGTAAAGCAGCTAAGTTATGTTTACGGAGTTATAATATCAAATAACCAGATAGGCTCAAGGATCTAGATCTCAAATTATCAGGTTCCCTGATTTCTTTGATTTGGCTATTCTGTGCCTTTCACACCCTCTTGGCATCATTCGAACATGGTCCTTAATACACTGAGTTACGTGGAACAAAAATTTGTAACCGGTGTTGTTTGGAATGTGTGTTGATAATTGTTTTTTTTTATACTGCATATGCTGTTGATGTAGATTTTAAAATCAGCTTCATCACTCTTCTACATGTCATTGGTCTCATGGCTTTATTTCAGTGTTTGCTCCTCACTAATATACATAAAATGCATTAGAGAAACTGAAATATTTCTATAAATAGGAGTAACATTTATTTCAGAGAGCTTTTCAAATGCTTTGGTTACTCATGGCATCATTTGTTGTTCCTTAAACAGATTTTTATCCCATTTGTTCTTGTGATGTGTGCTTTTGAAGCCGTCCAGTTAACTACTCAGTTATCATCAAAAAGGTGGGTGAATGTTGACGAGCCATTGGATCTGTCCACTTTTTGGAAATGAGAGTAAGCATTTGAGGGTAATTCATGTGATTTTTCTTAAGACAGTGTAACATAGATTGTACTTTACCCTTTTAGTCGGAGTTCAGTTTCATTAGAGGAATCAGTTGATCAGAGCCCCCAGTAGACAAATATGCTTTCTCAGCAATGAAATGTCATTAGAATGTTATTCAAGCTAGTGAAGAGCCTCCTTACAAAACAGTAAAACATAAATGTTAAATTATTATAGTGAGTAACTTACATGTTATAGATGTTACTGTGCCTACAAGACAAACAAAGGATATCACTCTGTTTTGGGGGTTGGTTCTTAAATATGTGTTAGACATTATTTCATTTTGCGTGGTTTGAAATTAACTTCTAAATGTTAATATATGTAGTTTCTTCATCTTTATTTCTACACATTTGACAAATGGAATGGGAAGTATTCTTTCTGAGTTTGGGGAATTTCTGGAGCAGTCAGTCTTAAGCACTCAAGCTTCTGGAAAAGACGCTGTCAACTGTACTATTTGCTTTTTTAACCAATAAAATCACCCCATTGGCACCGGACTGACTGATCAGCCTCTGAAAGACACTTGAGATAAATATGAAGCTTCTTAGCAGTTCTATTATTCTTGAATCAAACTGGCATATTCTGTGCTGAAAGAAGTAACTAATATTAGCATAAATTTGCATATTCTTCCTGATGAGTTTAAGCTAGACTGGGTTTAGCATATTACTGTGCATGTGCCATAATAAAAAAAGGAACAGATTTTTCCCCACTGTTTAAAAATAGTAGAAATCTGGTTTCTAGTTTAATTTTGTATATTTTTGCAGGATATTTACATAAATTTAACATTGAAAGTATTTATACCTTGTCACTATCACATAAAAGATAGTTACTTAGATGCAATAAAAAACTGGTAACTAATAGGTACTTTTTTGCATGCATTAATGGATACCTTTTTTAGAAGAGATTTTAATTAACATTTAAGTAAAAAGAGCTGGGGACATATGGAATGAAAAGTAGAAGGCTCATCGAAGTGTGTGTGTGTGTGTGTGTGTGTGTGTGTGTGTGGTAAGTCTATGCTGAAACTNAATGAAAAGTAGAAGGCTCATCGAAGTGTGTGTGTGTGTGTGTGTGTGTGGTAAGTCTATGCTGAAACTAGTGCAGTGGAAAATTCAACACAAAGGGAGAGAACTGAGGCAAAGGTGCCAAAGTTGAGGCTTTAGAAATGTCTTCTCTTTTGCCCTGGCCGGTGTGGCTCAGCTGGTTAGGCGTCACCTCATGCACTGAGAGGTTGCTGGTTCAGTTCCCAGTCAGGGCACATGCCCATGTTGCAGGTTCGATCCCTGGTCAGGGTGCGTGTGGGAGGCAGCAGATCAATGTTCCACTCTCCCATTGATGTTTCTCTCTCCCTCTCCCTTCTGCTCTCTAAGAATCAATAAAAGTATTTTTTTTAAATAAAATAAATGATTCCACTTATGCAGCACTCTTGAAAGGGCAAAGTTATAGAAACAGGGAACAGAGGAACGGCTCCTGGGAGGGAGGGGTGAGGCAGGGGCCGGCAGGAGGATTGGTGCGGCCGTACAGGGTCGTGAGGGACCGTGGTGTGTCTTGACAGGATCAGTGTCAGTGCCCTTGTGATGCTGCAGTAAGATTCTGTAAGACGTTACCATTGGGGAAGACTGGGCATAGGGTACATAGGATTCCTCTATGTTATTTCTTGCAATTGTATGTGTATCTACAATTATCTAAAATAAATCATAATTCATGTTCCTTTCATATTATTGAAATACATATTCAGCGTGTTAAATAACATTTTTGAAGTCTAGCCCATCACCATGGGGCAGTCGTCCATGAAAATATGAAAAGAGCTTTTGTCAAAAGTAGTATTTTCAGAAGCAAAAATATTAACAGAATATTGGGTTGTTCGATTATTCTCATTTTGATTTTACTGTGCTTTAAAAATGTGCCTGTTGTATTATGTGTAATTTTTCTTTATTTTTTTTTCCAGTCTTTTTCTCATGGTTCTTGTCATCTCAGACATTATGGCTTTGGTAAGACATTCTTGGATATTCAGTATAAATAAGATTTAGAAGTTAGGCGTCGAGTTAATTTAATCAAGATAAATATGAGTGCGTTTCTTTACGTTAAATCTTTAGATATTGAGTTGTAGGTGCTAGAATAACTTACACCTATAAAGTACTTTCTTTCTATGTGACTTACGCAGTAAGAGTGCTTCACAGTAAGGTGTGAAGAGTCTTATTTAATTTACCCGAATCTGTCGTTTTATACCTAGTCTTCCATGGCGCATTGTGTCTGAAATGGACTCCCACAGGAAGCTAACTTTAGGTTTATGCAATACATTAATTTTCTACCTGAAATGTCCATTTTTTTACCTTTTTCCTCCGGTTGAAAAAGAAAAGGGGAGCGGGAGGGAGAGAGGATAGGAAGGAAAGAGGAAGTGGAGCTTTTCGAGTGGGAAGGTGTTACCAAGATGATAGTGCTGATGAATGAGTTCAGAGTGAGGAGCATGTCGGTGGGCCCCTTGTATGTAGTATGTTAACAAAAAGAAGAGCCTAATTTACCTGCAAGATCAGGAGCTTCCCAGAACTACCCTCAGATATGATAATTCATTAGATGGACTCACAGAACTCACTGCAGACTTATAGCACAGGAAAGGTTTAGTGCAGGGAAAGGATGCAGATTAAAATCTGCCAAGGGTTGAGGCGCAGAGGGCAGAGTCCAGGAGGGGTGCCGGACTCGAGGCATCCTCTCCCCGTAGAGTCAGGCCAGCCTCACTCTTCCAGCATCAGTGTGTGACAGTCCACACACAGCACTGCCAGCCAGGGTCGCCAGAGCCTTGGTGCCCTGACTTTCCTGGGGCTCAACCACAGACTGTTCCCATGGCTGACCCCTAATCTCCAGTCCTTATAGAGATAGAACTGATAACATGCAGCCCAGAGCCCGCAACAAAAATCACATTATTAGACTGTTCAGTGACCGAGGCCCCCAGGCTAAACATTCCATATCAGGCGTGATAGTCCAAGAGCCCAGACATCACCTCTCAGTAGCTGCGAGCAAAAGACAGCCTCTCTGGGTCCAGTTAATTCTTCAGTGTGCAGCATCCTGTGCTAGAAGTGATGAGAGACAGCCATCGCGGCAACTTCCCAGCGTCAGATTCCTAGAGGCTGGATTCAGATGAGAGCGTTTTTGTGTTGTATTGAGCTGGACATTGAGTACAGGCATACCTCACAGGTCTTGCGAGTGCAGTTCCAGATCACCACAGTAAAGTGAGTACCACTATAAAGCGAGTCATAATCTTTTTGCTGACCTTCAGTTTATTACAGACACACACACAATACCTGTAAAGCAGTAAAGCAGAGGTGATAAATGAGGTATGCCTGTGTACGTCTGAAATCGACCACACCTGACTTTAGAACAAATCAGCTTTCAGTTTTGCTCACAAAGTGGCAAATAGGCAAGACTGTTAATAGAAGAGAATTTAACTTCTCTGGTTTCATATTATATATAAAGAGTCAGATTGTTTAGTTTAACTTAGAAAGTGATTTGTGTCTAGCTTCCGCTTACTGGCAGGCACCATCCATCACCTGTCCCTCCTGTTTTCTCTACCCCAGCCACACCTTGGGCCTGCCAAGCTCTGCCTGTACCGTTGACGATTATATAGTTTACTCCCTCTCTCAGAAACATACTTCTCCTCACATCTCCCCAGTCACTTAGATTTTAGACTTTTTACTGGGGCAACCCCCCCTTATATTCCAGGCGAGGTGTATACCCCTTTCTTTGTGCTCCCATAACGGCCTGCACTCTCTGGTGGTCGCCCTCATCACACGCGTGCTCCTGGTAACTTGACTGCATCATTCTCAAGATTACACACCTCCTGAAAGAGTGTTTACTTCCAGGACCTAACACAGTGACTAGCGAGTAGTAGGTGGTCAGTGAATATTTGTTGATGAGCAGATGGTTCAGCTTCTTTTCACTGAGGTCTTGGTTTTCTTTATTTCTAGTTATTCACAGATTTCACTTTTGCATTCATTTGATTGAATGGTAACACTATTTCTGGGTTTTAGACTATTGCACATTTTAGTCCAAGCAAAAATTTCAGTAAATACAGTGAATTCCAGTCATACTATGGTTATCAGGGGTCCGAAATCTGAAGCACGTAGCCCTAAAACAGCATTGTTTTTCAACTGAATCTCAACAGCCTTTGTTTTGCATGGAACCATATTTTGTTTTATTTTACAGCACTTTTTCTTCTTGGTCAAGGATTATGGCAGTTGGCTTGATATTGGAACAAGGTATAGTATATATTCACACAGAAATTATTAAGAGTCCATTGAAAAAAAGGAAATTGACATCTTAGTATGGAGGATTACAAACTGATTTTGAGGTAGGCATAACAAGTAGCAGTTATTTTAAGCCTCTGGGAGTGAGACCCATTTCTCCAGTTGTTGGCATTAACGTATTAGCAACTGTTTTCTTGGGATGGTGTGTGTATAGATGTTAAGTGTTGAGAGAGCTACAGGACAGCAGGAGGATGCAGGGACACTGCTGAATCTGGGTGTTCAGAGATCACGCCACAGTGTGTATTCTCACAGTCGCTCCATCTCTCTCTAGAAAAAGGAGACTATTCAAGTCCCAGTGGGAATTCTGTGTGGCAGTTTAAGTTGGAGGATGGGTTGTTTTGCCACAGAAACACTTCTACTCACACTTGGGGAGAACGCACATTAAGCCTGCAGGACTGAGAAAAGTTAAGGATTATTGAAGAAGGTATCAGATTGATAGAAAACTTAGTATTAAAATGTCTCTTATTGCCCACAATGTATTTTGAGTTGTACATATATTGTTTCATGAATTCTTGTGACAGCGATGTGAGGAAAATATAATTCTTTCCATTTTACAAAGGAGGAAACTGGCTCCAGAAGGTTAGGATTACACAGTAATGTGACACGGCGGTTTCATTCTTTTGCGTTGTATATGCATTTAATATAGATAATTTTTTCAGAGAAAAACCACATAGCGAATAACCACAGTGTATAAAGTATTCCTAGGCATCGGCAAGGACCCAAAATGAATGGGATTGCTGGCCTCAAGGCTGAGAGATGCCCCCTTCATCTGGGTGTTGCATGGGGGCTTCAAGCACCGAGTGGAGGGTCCCAGTGTGTGACAGGGTCGTTCCAGCCGGGAAGCATCTGACTGACATGTGGCCCTGCGCCCGGGGAGATCCTGGCCTAACGCAGGCTCTGAGGCGTGGTAACTGCAGTGCGGGCGGCACGTGGGTGGGGGCTGTGTGAATGCAGAAGGATGGCGCAGTGACTCAGAGAACACGGCAGGGTCTGCGTGTAAGCTGGGTCTTCAGTGGAGGAGGTCGTTTCAGTTAGTGGGCTTAGAGGCTTGCAAAGGGTGTTTTAGAGTGGATACGAGCAAAGCTATCGAGGCGAAAGCCCAGTGCATTCGTTTGTGAAGGTGGTGAATTACGTGGATTTCAGAAACCACAGGCTTTCTAGAAATTTCTAGAAAACAGCCTTTGAGAGCCTTAAGTTGAGCCCCCTTGCTTACAGAGCAACAGAGTACATTCTACTGGCCTGTAAGTGAGGAGCCACATCTTTTGGTTCCACTTGTTGGCCATTTGTGTGTCATCTTTGGAGAAATCTCTATTCAAGTTCTTTGACCATTTTTAAATTTTTTTAATGATTGAGTTGTAGGAGTTCTTTATATATTCTGCATATTAACTCCTTATCAGATATGATTTGCAAATATTTTCTCCTATTCTGTAGGTTACTTTTTTCCCCTCTGTTGTGTCCTTTGACCCACAGGAGTTTTTAATTTTGAGGTAGCTGTTCAGCTACCTCAATATTTCCAGTTTAGCTGTTTTTATTTTTGTTACCTGTGCTCACTCAATTTTTTAAAAGAGGCTTTGAACCATTGCAAAACTTGCACATAACATCTGCTATGACGTTCTTCTTGGCACTTGTGCGGTTCCTCCAGCCCTGTTCCTTGCGCTCCTTTATAGAACTATTATGGGAATAAAGTGTTCATCAGAGAGGAAATAATAGCAGAGAGAGAGACTGCGGAGGCATAAAGCAAACCATGAGCATCATTCAAGCCGAGGGAAACAGCATGAGCGTCAGCCCCCGTGGGCTGAGAATGCTGCGACGGCCCCACTGCAGTGGGGCCATGAGAAGATGTAAACGTGTGTCGGTGCTTTATTGATTTATGATACATAGTAAAGTACTATGTAATTAATTAATACTAGGCAGGGTAAGAACTGCTGTGGAAACATTTGTGGTTTTTCACAACAGGAACAGACCTGCACCTACTGTGACCATATGTCCGAGTTTACCTGAAACAGCCTGGGTTATGCCTGTTGTCCTGGTGTATTCATTACACCTCATCTGCACGACATTAAAAATCCCAGGTGGGTGGGAAGGTGATAAAGGCACCGCTGGTTAATCAGTTACATGAAACCTCAGTTACCTGTCTCAGTGCTTCATCTTCGCGGTCTAACTCCCATAGGTTAGATGGGTGCTTGCCCTGAGAGACTTCTCGAAGGCAGCTATGGCAGAGGACTCCAGACTCACTCCTGCTCACCAGGCTGCGGGCACTGGACTGGCCGGCGCAGATTCCCCACAGGCTCTCCTCATTCCTGCTGAAATACCCCCAGCCTGTTCTGTTCCCGTCTCCCTGTCTCCTCCTGTACCACCCCAGAGATGCCCACTTAGGAAAGGAAGGGGACTGCAGAAGGCAGGGTCGGGAGTGCACGGGGTAGGGGTGGAGAAATGAAATGAAATCTGTGTTAGTGAAATGAACCTTCTAAAGGGAATTGCCCCAGTTGATGCTGCAAGGTGTGGTTTTTGCTGCTGCTGTACTTGTTGGTAAGTTAGAATTCTAGAACCTTCCTTTCATTTCCTTACAGCAGTCACAGTGTACACCACCGCAGTGAGCCACACAGTGCAGGTCTAAGGTTAGGAGTGGTTCATGCATCTTCGTAAGCATCTAACTGAGCGCCAGGGAAAGGCTTAGATAATGGGGGGGGAATTATGCTTTAAGATTCAAAACTAAAGCACCATATAATGGGGTTCATATCAAAGCTCCATTATTCTATTTTTCCTGCTTTTTATTTGTGAGAGTGTTGCTTTTAAGTTCTAGATTTCTAATTATTCCTATGTGACTGTCTCCTTGAAAAGCTGAGCTGCTTCTTGTCGCGCTGCAGGTATTATTAAACTCACTGGAATTCCCTTAGTGGGAGCCAGGCTGATCTGAACGTGCTCCTGCAGTGGCCTCCCTTTGTGACAGAATTTATTTCCGAACTCCTTTGTATTAGTGAGACTGTTCATAACGTCAGCCATGCCATGCCTGTTATTCACAGCAGTGGAATGTGGTCCTACTGTCCTTACGGACTGCTTTATTAATACAGAAGTGGTGAGGATGTGTCCCGGAATTTTGGAGAGGAGTGGGAGCTAGCCAGCCCCATTAGTGTAGTCTGGCGTGTGTCTGGAATGTTTAGTGTTGTCGTCGTAGCCACAGCGGGTTTTCAAAATAGGTTTGAGAATTTCCTTAGCTATTAATTTCAGGTTAATAAATAGTAGTTTCTTTAAAAATGAAGACTTCAGTACGAGGGCATGAGACAGTGTATCTGTCTGTGGGTCTAGTCCAATGGGTTTCTAAGGCATCTTCAGAGAAGGTTCTCCCAGAGTGAAATTGAGACTCTTAAAAGGGGTGACTGCAGTAAGTATGATCAGCGGAAACGGCGTATAAGTTCAGGGTTCTCGAGAGAAGCTTGTGGCACCAGGGTCCTTTTAACGGCTGTATGAAAATGTCCTGCCCGGGCCATAAACTGCGCTGGGCCGGCAGCTATAATTTAGCATTTTCTCCCTTTGATCTTTTATGCTGCCTTCATTCATATAGCAGGTCATAAACTTTACAGAGTATTGCCTTTTATATGGCGCACTGAGAGAAGCGCATTTTTTAAACTAGAGAAAAAAATGCCTTCTAGGGTAATTTTCATAAAAACATATTTAAATTTATGTTCTAAATGTTTCTGATAGGAGATAGACTGCAGTTTGATTTTATAGTGGTGTTGATTTGGGCTTTGTTTCCTACATGCACTATTATTATACCTTATGAAAACACAAATGACAGCTAAAATATCTTTTCTCTTTAGATATAATGAAAACTTATGACTGTGCTCAATAATACATTAATATCCTCCTAAATGTAATTATTGAGTACCATAAAATATCTGCTCTTACAATGAATACTAAGCTTTATTAAAATCAGTGATTCTCAACCTTTTCTTCCCCAGTACATCTGACAGATATGACCTGCATCTGCTGCCCAGTACCCTGCCTGGGGGGAGTACCGTCCACCTTTGTCACCGTTGTACAGGTGGAAAAGGCCTGCCTGGTGATTCCGTTTGCCCCTGCACACACCCTCCCCATCTCTACCATCACACACGCAAGCCTTGAAAATCGCTGATTTAAATGATGTCAAAATCATTGGGGGGAGAGCTGGAACAGCTGAACTCATTTCAAGTTGAAATTTGGTGCTCCTTTAACTCTCTTTGCTGAGATGACACCAGACCTGATTGATGGGACATATGAGCTGAATGCCTTATGGCTCAATTGCATGAAGACGAGCTTCACAACTGTTCCCTGCCAGTAACATTAGCTTAAATGAGCCAAGAGTCAGTCATTTCAGACCATTTTAAGGAGATGAGTGATCTGGGTCTTTTATAATAGACTTGCACTAAATTTGAGGATGGGTCACCTACTGGTTTTACAAAACTTACCTTGTTAAGAGATTGTCATAGTTAATATTTTAAAATAACTTAAAATACTAAAAGTGGTAAAAGGCCTAAAAGTGATACCAAATTTAACAACAAAAATCTAGAATGTAATCTTTTTTTTTACAGCTTAATTGAGGTATAATTTATATATCAAAATTCATTCATTTTAAGGTTATGAATGACTTCAGTGATTTTTTAAAAAATCAATTCAGTGATTTTCAGCAAATTTATCGAGTTGTGCAATCTAGTTTTTGCACATTTCCATCACCCAAAAAATTCCCTTGTGCCTGTTTACAGTCTAGCCCCATTCTCATACCCAGCCCCAGGTAACCCTGATCTGCTTTCTGTCTCTACAGATTTGCCTATTCTAGACATTTCAGCAAAATAGTCATACACTGTGTGGTCTTCTGCAACTGGCTTTTTCCACTTAGCGTGGTGATTTTTGGCAGTTATTTGTATTATAGCATCTGTCAGTGCCTCGCTCCTTTTCATTGCTGAGCAGTGTTCTAGTGTACAGATCTGCCACAATTTGTCTACTTTCTATAGTGTAACTTCTCACAGTCCTCGTGGCTTTACTTCATCTACCTGGCTCCTGACCTCCTTGCCTGCTCTCCCCATGGAACCAAGGTCAGGTAGCTTTCCTGGATTTGATCCTCGGGGCTCTAGATTGGGCCGTTTGCAGTCCCTCATTTACTCATCTCACCTCTGACTCTAAACTTCAGTCCCTGGGTTGAGGTGTAAACCTTCTTAATATATGAAGAAGTTGTGACCATTAATCCAGCTTATTGGATTAAGGATTTTTATCTCAGGAACTGGTATAATCAGATTTTGAAATGTCCTATGAGAAACAGAAACGGAATAGAGTTGAATATTTCTGTGCTAATTATGAATGCAGCCTAAGAGTTCTATGCTAAACCTACCATAATTTGTAAACATCATATACATAGAAACGTATCACAATCTTATTACAGAAGGTACTGAAAGCATATAGAAAAAAATAAGTCACCCATCATTCAATATCTCAGAACTTCTGTTCAACATGTTGATATATCTCCTTTTAGCCTTTATTTATGGGCCAGCATATACAGTACAAGGTTTTGGTTTGTTGGGGATTTTTAAGTTTGCTTTCTATAATAACTATTTCCCCATGTCAGTAGATACTTTTGAAAACGTGAAGGTTATTGTAACTAGAGTGGCGTGAGGCAAAACAAGGTAGGGAGAGTTCAGAAAGACTGTTGATGTCACTTATGACCTTGAAGGTCATTGTGAGGAACTGGGAATTTATTACAAGTGTAAAGCGAAGCATTAGACCCTTGAGCAGGGAAGTATTTGGTCTGCTGTATATTTTGAAATCACACTGGCCATAGTCTAGAGAACGTATCATAGGGACCAGGAAAGGGAGCAGGAGGTTGGTTGAGAGACTGTAGCAGTATCTAAGCCAGAGATGATGGCAGCTTGGACTAGGGCAGCAGTTCAAATGGTGACAGGAGGTTGGGTTTGGAAATATTTTGAAAAGGAGGTGAGTAGGATCCATTGATGGGTTGGATGTACTCAGAGACAAAAAGAATCCAGGGTGACTCAGGTCTTGTTATCTTGAGTAACCAAGTGAATGGAAGGCCATTTCCAGAGGTGGAGAAGGTTCTAGGCAGAGTGAGTTTGATGAAAGAAGGTGTGGGAGATTGAGAGCTGGGTTTTGGAATATAATCAAATTTAAAATGCCTTAAATCAGGGTGGTACCATGGGGTCTTGGGGAAGTTTTTCGTTTGTTTTTAGGATGAGAGGAATGGCATGTCTGTGTGGTGAAAGATTTGATCGCTTCAGAGAGGGAGAAGTTGGCAGTACAGCAGAGGGATGGCACGTTGCAGACATAAAGCCCTGAGGAGAGGCGGAGTGGGCTCCTGAGTGGGAGTGGAGGGGTTTGGGCTAGGGTCCGGCGCGGGACAAACCTGGACAGGCGTGGGAGCGTCAGTAGGTTCAGGGAGAGAAGTTCTCTCTTAGCTCTGTCAGTATTTTCTCAGTAAAATAAGCAAAGCCACCTCCTGAGAGGGGAGGAATGTGACAGAACTTTGAGAAGAAAGGACATTAAGTGCTTTGACTGGGAGGCTGAGAACAGTAATTCACACGTGTGCAGTCAGGGCTGAGGCACTGGCGGGAACCAAACCTCATTTGTGCCCCTGAGTGTAAAGGGAGCCCAGCCAGGAGAGTCCTGCGTTTTCAGGGGGATTCCTTTATCTTAGTGTGGCCAAGCCTTCGGGTCCCTTCTGTGGTCTGACTATTGCTTCTAATGCCAGCATTAAACTCATCTTTATGTTTTAGTATCTTGTAGGGCTAATTTCACTTCATTTTGGTAGAGACTCATTTAGTTTCTTTAAACACTTTGGGATTTATTTATTTTTAGCATTTAATTTTGATTATATGTTTATGATTTTTATTTTAGGGGAATTGATTTCAGTCCAGATTTAACCTGCCAGGGTAATATAAAACAAAAGTTTTTCTTTCTTTCAATTACTGATTACTCGCTTCAGTAGTACATTTAACAAATATTAATTGAAGGCCCATAGGACTTGCATTAGACCTCAGAGATGCAGTGGGGAAAGAGAGAGACAGTCACCCCTGTCTCCAGGGACCTGCAGTCTCAGGCAGAGGTCATGAATCCACTTTCCTGTCATGCTATTTTTACAGTGAAAACAAGCAAAAGTTTCAGAAATCTTACTTAACGTTAATATTTGTTTAGCAATTACGGATCTGATTTTACTGTTTTCTTTTTAGGTCAGGAGCCTACTCTAGACCAGACCCTGATTTCTAGCATAACTAGTTCTAATTTCTGGTTTTTAATTAGCCAGCTCTTCTTTTCTATTTCAAATTTACGTCACTAGATGAACCCAGAGAAAGGAACGTTCCAGATGAGAATGTCCTAACTGGTGCCTTTCCAAAGGCAGTCTTACCAAACTGTAAAACTTCCCAGTTGGAGGCTCTTGCTTTCAAGCCGTAACAATACCAACAAATAAAAATAAAATCTGGTCAGAGCAAGAAGCCCTTCTTTCCTGGCCTGGGGGCCTTGCCTGTGGGTGGCCTGCTGACAGCATGGGAAGCTTTGCCTGGTTTGGCCAAGGGCCAGCGATTGACATTTGGGGAGCTGTCCACTAGTGGATTGGATTTATTGAAAAGGTGGGAGGGAGACCTGCCAGCTTCCTCTCCCCTTTTTCCTAAATCTCCCCATTCCTCTAATCAGCCTGTTTTACTCAACTGTCCAAAGACAAGTTCCCTGGGGCTTATCCTGCTTCTGTTGCCAGCACCGGGAGGACGCCTGTGTGCTGGGGAGGAGGCACGGGTAGGGGGAAAGCATGGCCTCCCCTCATCAAGCCAGCCCGCTTACAGCCTGCGGGAACTTCCTCCCTCCTGTTGGAGACGTGAAATGTGTGAATCTATTGTAAAGGTAGATAGTTAAATGCAACTCTGGTAGGCACTGTAGATAAATAATGTGCCAAACTGCACTCGTATCAGTGCGGGAGGCCTCTGCTTTATTGTACCTTTGTCAGATCTATATCCTCAGTTTCTCCCTATACTTCTAAATTTATCATCAAGCCATGTTCTGTGTAGGGAGTACAATTCTGTGTTTAAAAAGACAAACTGAGCGCTGACTCTTGCTGATAGACGAGAAAAGGGCCTGAGTAATTTTAAGACTAGTATTCATTACTCTTCTGTCTTTTTCTGAAAGTCAGGGAGAACCAGCTTTGACACTGAGATTAATAAAGAGATGTGGGTGGTGGTTGTTTTTTCCTTTGTTTAGATTCCTTGACTAAAACTTCCACTTCCCTGAATTTGAGTTTGTGTAACATTTTTCTTCCTTTGTGGCCGGTAGTTCTGTCAGAGTGCCTCTAACTTCTGTCAAAGCGTAGGCTGGCGTGCTCTAAAATGTCAGAATTCTTCACCTGGGGCCATGTTGGGGAATCTGTGGATATTAGTCAGAGGTTCCAAGAATTAGGGAACATTATTTTTCTAAAAGCTAGATTTTGAAATTCAGTTTCTACTGCTAACAAAGAGACAGTCACTGCTAATACCAACCAGACATTTTCATAACATGCTATAGTTGTTGGAGACATCTCCAGATATTACTTACGTTCACCACAATTTCTGTGACAGATTTGTTTTTGAACATTTTGATACCCATTTCAAAGTCATTGGCAGCCTTTGTAATTGTGTGTTTGTATGTACCTTTAGAAGTGTTATTTAGGGGAACCTTAGGCTTTTCCTCGTGTGCTCTCCGCCTCTAACACCTCTCTCTCCTTCTGTAGCATCAGCCACTACGTGATTGTCATGTGCATGACCATCGTCCTGGTGTTTCTCAACGGCCTGGCGCAGCTGCTCACAACAAGGAAACTCAGACTATGTGGACAACCCAAAAGCCATCTCATATGATGTCTGGGTCCTGTTTCTCAGTCTCCATTTAAGCTAAAAGCTTGCCCAGGGTTCAGCAGGAAGAAGGCTCCTGATGTGTGGCACCCTCTACTCCTGTAAAGAAACGTACACGGTACACGTGGAATTCTGAACTTACAGTTACCTGGAATAAAGGAGCTTCCGTTTCTTTAGCTTCTGCATGCATCGAATAGTTATTATGGATGGCTGTGGGAAGGCAGAGTAAAGCATCCTCCATGTCCGTTCTCTCCCTTGAGCTGGCAGCTCTTTTACTGATGGTTCAGAGCACCTGTGACGGTCCGCTCCCCAGCTGCACAGCTCCCTGTATCCGCAGAGGAGAAACGCCCCTGAGGGGGCCTCCCGATCACATCCAGAATCAGTGCAGTGGCTGAACTTGAAGGGAATCGCCAGGTGGCACCATAAATATTTATCAAGTCTCAGAACTGGTTTCACAAAGAGTTCGAACTGCTCAGCAGTGACACCAGAAAGACTGTCAGGATGTGCTCTTCAGATTTGCTGAAGCTTCCGTAGGAACAGTGTTTGCAGGGGTGCGTCATCTCTCTCCCGGTGCAGCAACGTTAAGCACCTTGCTGCTGTTTCTGGGGTTTTTATGGTCAACCATCTCGATGCAAATTTGACCTTCACTTTATTTATTTATTTTTTAATTTCTGGATTCTCATGGAATTTCTGGAGATAGGAAAGTTGAAAATGCTTGGTATTAGTGTCTTGTCCATGGGCAAAAATGGTAGATTCAGTATCTGTTAATTGTAGATTCAGTATCCGTTAGCCCCATAGGTTTTACCACGTGTTGTTTCAACAGAGTTCTTTAAATCCATGGTTAAACTTTCTGATGATATAAGAGTCAGAGTTAAAATTGCTTCTCTTTCTGGTTGTGAGATTCTAGCCCAGAGGCCTAAGGTCCTCTCATTAAATTTAAGTTTATATTTGTAAACACATTCTTATGGACAAAATATGTTGAGAGTAATTTTTATTTGCCTTTTTCATAAAGTGACCTTTGCATGTCACTATAGAGTTGGCCTTTTGTCCATGGTATGCCAGTTCACTGGTTTGTGTCCCATTTTTTAAAAAGTAATTGCTTTTGAATTAAGTTATAGCATTTCTAACTCACATTAATGCCGAGGAAGCCCTCCACAAATGACTAAAGTTTTTAGATTGGCAGGTTAGTGAACAGATACAATTTAGAAGATTCAAAATCAGTTTGACAGTATGGACTTTTTAAATTTCTATTTATAACAAAGTATAATTTATTTGTGATAGTACTTTGTGGTGTCTCAGCAAAAGCATTATAATATAAAAAATAGAAAGGCGCCTTGATGTCGATGTAAGACCTCACGCATCAGTCTGCAATATAAAATTTAGGTGGATGACTAACAGGCGTTGGTGGCAGACAATGACGTTGGCAGAGAACCATGAACTTTCTCATAGCCTCAAAGGATTTTTGATCAGTTTTTTCACAGCTCAGAGAAAATTGACTTTATAAACACTTATTTAACTCCCTTTATATTGGTTTTGCCTTTCATCTTTTCCCAGATTTTCACACAGAGGAATTAATGAATATTTTATTACGACATTGTAAAGGGTGCTTGGTGCTTTATCTTTATTTTGCTCTTTGAAACATGCCTTTTTCTCTATATTGCTTTGTGTTGGTGTGAGTTTACAAAGCAGGAACTCGCCTACAGCCCAGACTTGCCTTGTTGCACTGTCTGGAGCCCTCAGAATCACTGGAGTTTGCCAAATGGGCTTTTTCTCTTGCTCAGTTTATCAAATATCTTAAGGTGTTTTGAAATGCTTATTTTTATATTGAGGAACAGAAAAAATAAAGAAGATTTAAGTAAAATATATTTCTGTTTAAGGCATTTACTTTTCATTCTGACTCTGAATACCGGATTTCCAAATCAAGACTTAAGACATTCGCTGAGTGACATTGTTTAAATTAGGAATTGCTGTAAGAATTAAAGCAGGCATATTGAGTTAAGACAATATTGAACAAAAAAGCAATGCTGTGCCACATGGACGTGAATAAATCTTGGAAGAAACCCTAACAACAGGAAAGTCACCACAGCCTGTCCATAATTTACCAATTAGATGTCATAAAAAAAAGTGTCCCCTGATCAAATATATTTGAGAACCACCTAGTCAGGGTTAAACAGGTGTATTTATTGTAGCACTTAGGGATTTAACGTGGGATAGGCATTGAGATGGCAGCACGCCAGAAATGCCCACGCGCTTGCCCGCAGCCCCGCCTCAGTCTCCCTCCCGACTGGCAGACACTTCAGAAACGTCCCCGCGGATTTTTTGCACTCACATCCCCAGTTTGTCATACTGTGTTGAAAAGGCTGTTGTATGCTTCATTGGATCTTGTTTTCCCGAGAGCTGGAAAACCACTTCATTTTCACCCGTGGCGTGGGAACTAAACGGCGCTGGCACGTTTCCCCGCCTCTAACCCGGCCCGGCCCACCCGCTCCTGCGGGAGCCCCCGCACCTCCAGGTGGGCGTCCGGGTCATCGCACCTCTCACAGCCCCGTCGAGTGTGGGCAAGGTCTTCATTACCTTATAGTTTACATCCTTTACCAGAAAAATAAATTCACAACGAACATTGTCTTGTGTCCTGTGATTCGCCACTGTAGACTGGTTCCTAGTTGGATTTTTGCGCATTCCTGTTTTTTCTGATTTACTCATCCCTGCCTGTCCCTGCTTTCTCTCTCCTCCTGTCACCCCGTCGCAGCCACGTGAGAAAGTCTGTGCGTGACTGTCCGTCTCCCTGAGGCCGTGTCGGCACGGCGCGCGTGGAGGGTGCCGGGCTGTGCTGTCACCTGCCTGGCGCTCGCTCTTCTGCAGCGACTTCGCTGACCCTGTGCCTCTCACGGGAAACAAGCCGGTTGACGACTTCCCTCTCCGCTGTTGACAAACTTAGGGGTGCGTGTCCGACCCAAGCCCAGCCAGTCCGAGTTCTTTGCAAGATTTTCAGGCCAGAACAGCAAACGTTCCTGAGATCCAGGAGCCCTTGGTGGCCGAGGGACGCTGAGAGGCTCCGGTTCCCTCCACCACATCCTTGCCCGACGAAGAGGGTTCGTTCCACTGGCATTTCTAACACGCTGGCCGAGGACAAGTCCCAGGCTCCATGGAAACTGTGTGTTGTATGTGCCTTTTACCTTAAACACTTCTTCAATCGGCATCAGTGGGACAGAATGGAGCAGCGATGCTCTCGCAGGTTCCTTTGGCTGCCGCCTCTGTTGCCCAGTTTCCCTTGGTTCCCTCCCACTTATTTTTAACCCTTCCCAGTTGCTCCACAAGTCATTCATTTGCTAAAAAAGTCTGTCTGCAGCTCCCTTCCTTGCCACCAAGAACTTTAATTGATATACGTGCTTTGAATGTGTCTGCAAATGTATCATGTGAATGTTTGGTGCACTTTCTTACTATGGTTTGTAAAGTATTGGTGATAAAACATCGCCCATACGATGTGCCAGGCATTGTTCTAAATGCTTTACAAATACGAACCTATTTAACCCTCATAACAAACCCCTGAAGTAGGTTATACCACTTGACAGATGGGAAAACGGAAACAGGATGCTTATAACCACTTGCCCAGGCCCCCCCACTAGGATGAGACTTTTTTTTTTTAACATGGATAGTTTCACCCTAAACATTCTATTCTGGAACCTGCATAACAGCATTTGTGGATTTTTTGCTTCTGAGAATGTAGTCGCTGGGCCTGAGCAGCTGAGGTGAAAACGAGATGTTTCCAGTTGTGTGCAGACAACCAAGTGTAAATGGTTTCATTAGGAACATGTGCTTTTGAAGATGCCTACATGTGTGCAAATGGCACGGGGCACGCTGGCCCCAGATCCTCAGCGTTCACTGTGAGGCACATGTCAGCTGTCCTCCAAACGGTACATAAAGCTACAGGAGAAGCGTTTCCTCCCTTTTCAAAGGAAGGGAGTGAATATTGGCTGTCTATTTTTAAGCACTTGAAGTTTTTTAAAGACCTAGAAGCCCAGAGTGCACTTAGTATAGGGGGTTGAATGGTGCCCTCCAGCCGCCATCCTAACCTGTGAATGTGACCTTACTTGGGGAAAGGGTCATTGCAGATATAATTAAGGGTCTTGAGATGAGATCATCCTGGATTATCCTGGTGGACCATAAATCCAATGACAAATGTCCTAATGAGAGAGAAGACACACACAGAAAAGGCCACGTGACAAGGCAGAGACAGGAGTGATGCTGCCACAAGCCAAGGAATGTGGAGCCACCAGCAGCTGGAAGAGGCAGGAAGGATCCTCCCTACAGCCTTTGGAGGGAACACACCCCTGCCAATGCCTTCACTTAGGACTTCTGGTCCCCAGGACTGTGCGAGGATACATTCCCATTGTTTTAAACTACCCAGTTTGTGATCATTTCTTGAGCAATCTTTTTTTTAATTGATTTTTTGAGAGAGAGAAACATCGATTTGTTGTTCTACTTATTTATGCATTCATCGGTTGCTTCTTGTGTGTGCCCTGACCAGCAATCGAACCCGCAACCTCAGCATATTGGGATGACGCTCTAACCAACTGAGCTACCCGGCACGGCCTGGTAATTTCTCATGACAGTTCTAGGGAATGTACACTTGGGGAGGTGAATGTTACAGAATCCTCAGCAGCGTTCCTGACTGCGTGGCTAGTTCATAATTTACTAGGCTAATTCTCCATTTGAGTACCTGCCATGTGACTATAAAAATAACCTCAGGAAAACCTGTAGGTAGAGTTAATTACTCCCTCATGTCAAGCTTGCTGGCAATTTGGCTTTCTGGAACATTCCTGCCATGTTTTCCTGGAAGTAGTAAAGAGATCCTCAGACTTTCTGTTTTCCCCTCAATATTTTTGGTGTTTATGTGTCGGAACTTGTGTTGTCTGGTTGTCCTTTCACTGTTGCCCCGAGGGGCTTGCTTGAGACCAGCCTCACCCTCCCTGCCTCTGCAGCACCCCTGGCCTAGTCCAGAACGCGGGAGGGAGTTTTCCCACAGCAGCCCTGCACACGAGTCCTCCCGGTCTTGATCCAGGCTTAGCACAAAGCAGACATGCCACCGCAGGCCTGTGGCAGGCCCTGGCACCCTCACTAGGACACTCCCTGGACCTGGAGGGAAGCCTTCCTTTGTTAAGCCACGAGTCTTGTATAATGTTAACTGACATTCTGCTTCATACGATCATCTCATGTGGGTCCGATGGCGGGAGCTGCTCCCAGCACCTGGGAGGCTGACCAGACTCGCCGGGGTCTGAGACGGAAGAATAATGAAGTGAGAGCTGTTAGCCACCCCCGGGGTCTCTGCATTTGAGAGCTCGTGTGACTGGAGGCTCACTGGTCCCCTTCATTTATCTGGTGGCCCCGCTCCTCCCCGAGGCTGCCCACGAGACAGCTGGTGAGGCTTGGATCTGGCTTCATGCGTTCGGCCCAGTGCAGTGAATACTGGTGTGAACTGCAGATGTGTGTGTGTGACTCCTGTCGCTGCCTTCGATGTTTAAGGCCAGTCACTGCCTTTTCCTGCAAAGGACTCTGCCCTGTCTTCCCATTCCTGGTTGCCCCACCCTTATCCCCATCCGCTGGCTTTTGTGACTGGTAATTTGAAGCTCTGGCCTTGCTCTTGAAAATATCCTGGGGTGCAGCAGTCACCGGTACCAACATCCCACTCCCCACCTCATCAAATTCAGCTTTTTTAGCTTGAGCCAGTTCAGCAGGTTGTCAACAGAGCACATGCATTTTCCTTCAAGAAAAGTCACTCCTGCCCTGGCCAGGGTGGCTCGGTGGTTAGAACATCTGCCCTTGCACCGAAGGGCCGAGGATTCGACTCCCAGTCAAGGGAATGTACCTGGGTTGCAGGTTGGAGCGTGTGCAGGAGGCAGCCAACTGACGGGTCTCTCTCACATCGATGTTTCTCTCTCCTGCTCCCTCCCTCCCTTCTACTCTCTCTGAAAATGGAAAAAATATCCTTCAGTGAGGATTAACAAAAAAAGAAAAAGAAAACTTGCTTCCTTTCGGGCATTTATCTGCCCGACCATCCTTCCCTCCCTCCCTCTCCCTGTATCTCCCTTCACTGAGCCCCTGTGTGTCCCCTCTGAGGGTGGATGGAGGAACCTGAGATGAGGTGGTTAGAGATCCCCCTACAATCACCTTCTCCTCAGGCTGTGCAGGGGGACAGAGGCCAGTGAGAGCACGCGAAAAAAGAGAGGGGTGGAGTCCAAAGGGTTCTCTGGATCATTTTACCCAAAAGCCTCAGAAAAAATGAAAAATGCTCTAAAGCCATCAGAAGAATGGAATATTCCTCTCCTTCCTCCGGTGCTTCTTAGTGGCCCCTTCCTGTCCCAGTCAGAAGTGTGGGTGCCCCGGAGAGCACCCTGGGAGGAAGGCAAAGACCAGGAGGCTCGTGGCAGTGATCTCAGCAGTCACCGGCAGCCCCCTGGGGCCCCATCAGTGGCTGTCCCTGTCTGTGTGGGGCTTGAACGCTCCGTGGCCGTTGCCCCGGCGACCGTCTGGAGCTGGTTAGCGTCTGTGCTGTTTGCACGTGGAGAGGCGATGGCGCTCTTCTCCGGATCCGAAAGCCAAGCGCATTGACTTGCTTTCTGGGGAGTGGGGGACGCTGCGATCAGTGAAGACTTTTCTCCTTTCTCCCTCTGATGGTCCCTTCCTTACTTGGGAAGCGACCCCCAAACCTTGGCCTTGTTTGCTCTGTATTCGAAGGAGCTAAGAAAAGAGAAGCAGGCAGTTGCCGTGAGAGGATCGGTGGCATCTCTTACTTGGAAAATTGCAGTGACTTTGTAGGTAGATCATTTTCAAAATGGCATGTGGTTCAGAACTGCCCTTTATTG